GGAGGGGTGTGGGGGGGAGGGAGGGTATGTGGGGGGAGGGGAGGGGTGTGGGGCGGGATGGAGATGTTTCCGGGACCGAGTGGGTCGGATGGTAATGGGATCCCCGGTCGAGAGGTCGGAGTCGACCTTCGACCCGGGGCAATTTGTGTGCCAACATTGATTTCTCTTCGCGGCCGGTCGGGGTGATCATTATGAGTGTGCCGCGAGGCGTATTTTATTTTTTACCGCATTATACCATTTTTAGTTTCTTTTTTCACCCTCGAGGGGGTTTTCCCTTTGAATTGAATTCGTTGGGGGATTGATGGCTTCCTTTGTCCGTTAGATGGTCGCTCCTTTTGCCGTGGGAAGGTGGATCTGCTAATTACGGGTACAATTAGGGATGGGTGCGTGAGTTAGTGGTGACGCGGGGATGTGTCACATCACAATGGGAGGACGAGGATGCGTATTTCATGGCGCACAAAGAGTTGTGACAAGGGGGGAAATTTGAAAATAATAAAATGGGAGGTGGAATGACCGGATTCGTAATGGGGGGGCTCGTTGGGACGGACGTGCCGGCGCATTAACGAGATGAGAAAATATTGCTTGCAGATTGCGGCGTGGAGGAGTCTTGTTTGCTTTTCTGAGGGCCTTTTCCGGGGTCTGGGCCGTGATGCACCTGGGGGATCGATCGATCCGTGTCGTTTCCGTGATGCGCGACCGCAGCGTGTTCCTTCCCATTTTTGGCTCCCTTCGTGTTTCCTTGCGTGTAGGGATCGCCGTGGTTTTATGGTTTGGCTGGTTCTCTCGCGGGGGAGGGAAGTCCCGGGGGGAGGGAGGTTCTCGGAGGAATGGGAGGGGAATGAGGATGGGCGAGGAGTGGCTCCAGGTTTTTTTTTGCATTCTTGCGTTCGAGAGGAAGATGAATCTGCCGTTTCGTGTCGGACCGCGGGGACGATTTTTTTTCTATTCGCATGGCATCTATGCGTGACGAAAATGGAACAGAAAGGGCGCTTAAGAGGTTCGTGAGTCGTACCGGAGTAGTACCCAAAGAGGGAGAGAATCGGTTTAGTAACGCGTGGCCCGCCTCGAAGCGAAGGACGCGAAGGACTTTCACCCGGGTTTCCTTCGTAACCGACTCATTTATCACCTGACCTGGGGGGGTCACGCTTCTCCCCCGCTTTTTTGGCACGGTGTCTCTCGACGCCGACGAGGAAGGCTGGAGGGAGCGGGCTCCGTTAGCTGGGTTTCCCAGGAAGCGTGGAGGATCGGAGGAATGGAGGACTGGAGGACCGGAGGGCTGGATGGCCTGGGAAGGAGGTCAGCGGGACGAAACTGTAGCAGCGGGGCTGGGTGTGTTCCCAGTCGCCTTCATTCTTGTCGCGTCCGGCTGTGTCCTCCGTTTTCGGTCGTCCGGTTGTGTCCTCCTCCTCCGCAGCGGTCGATCGTGTCTGGCCTCGTGAAGGGACGGGGAAGGGATCGGGTGTCCTCATGTATCCTCTGGGGCCTGTCGTACACAGTTGGCCTTCTACCGGTCTTTGCTTTCTTTTCCCTTTTATTTTTTTTTTTTTAGGCAGTCCATTCTCTCGGCTCGTTGAAGGTCGGGGAAGGGGGAAAAAAAAGTTTTTAAGACGTGGGTCACGTTTATCGTCCATATCGCACGCTGCACACGCCCGTCGGTTGACTCGAGGATAATTGATGGGCTTGTCCGTGAGCTGCGGGGGCTTCATCTGTCCTTTTCTGTGTTCCTCTTTCTATTTTTGCATTTAAAATTTAATTTTCTTTCCTACGCCGGTTTTGAATGACTTCGATCCGGTTCGTAGGTGATTGTTATTCTACGGGGTTGCGAAGGCAGCCTGCCTCCCTACTGGAAAAACTAGAATGGGATGGAAATGAAACCAAATGCTCTTTCATCCTCGACGAAGTATAACATATGTCGCTTAAAGTAAATAAGAGATGTGGTTATGAGCAGAGGAAGCTATGCGAGATCTGATGCGAATGGCTCGTGCGTCCCGATCAATGTGGAACGAGCCTTGCAGTTGCCTCATGTACGAATCTCGGTGTCACTAATCAAACTGGCCATTTTAATTGGAAGGGAGAGAGAGAGAGAGAGAGAGAGAGAGAAAGAAGCTATAAAAAAGGCTTTATTTTCGTATATGGCTGAGAGTTGCCCCCGGTTCGTATACCCGGGGGGATCGTCGTTCGACACCCTGTACTTTCCGTTCCGTTACTCTTTCGTTCCTTTAAAAACGAATTCGTTTTGACCGCAGGTCCCGGCGTTCGGGTGAACGGCCACAGTCGGGTGCGGATGGGCGGCGGGGCCTTCCCGGAGTCCGGCTCTGTGGTCAGCTCGGACCTGGAGAGCACGAGCTTCGACTCGGACGAGGACGATGGGTCTTCGCGCATTACCACTACCACGGGTGAGTTGGGTGGGTCGGTCCGGTTGGGGTTTGATTTGGGGGGGGGCTTGCAATGAGGAAACCGCTATTGCCGGATGAGGTGGTTTTACATGAATGGAATAATATAATGAATTATTGTCAGATGAGGTGGTTAAATAAAAAAATATATGTGAGAAATGTTGCCGGATGATGCGGTTGAACCCATGGTGGAAACGCAATTGCAGAGCGGAGCAGCCTGAATCACCCGCAGCGGCTGCGGGTGCGGAGCCAGCCGGCGGGGCCGCGCCCGCGGCGACGGCACCACCCGCCGCACCACCGCGCCCAGCCGCCGCTGTCGCGGACGTCGTCGCTCTCGTCCGTCACGGACTCGACGATGAGCCTCAACATCATCACGATCACGCTGAACAAGGACGTGGTGGACTTCCTGGGGATCTCGATCATCGGGGAGAGCAACCAGGGCGGGGACGGGGGCATCTACGTCGGGTCCATCATGAAGGGCGGGGCGGTGGCGCTCGACGGCCGGATCGAGCCGGGCGACATGATCCTTCAGGTCAACGACATCAACTTTGAGAACATGTCCAACGATGATGCCGTCCGGGTGCTCAGGGAGGCGACAAAGAAGCCCGGGTGGGTGCTTTATTTATTTGTTACTTCAGGGGCCGGAGAGTATGAGAGAATAATGTGAATGGGAGACGACCTTCAAGGTCGTGCTTGTTTTTGTGTGCGTGTGTTTTTTTTTTTGAGTGGAAAAGCATGCTCTGTTTCGGGTCCTTTGTTTCCTCGACAACCTCGTAAATCAGATTTCATAGCCGTCATTACCTCGTTTGAAAGCGGCGGTGCCTCGAGTTCCGTGCAGGAGTGTGGAAAGGTTTAACCGCCGGTTCAACCACCGGTTTCGTTTGGAAACAGGCCGATCAAGATGGTGGTGGCGAAGTGCTGGGACCCGAACCCGAAGGGGTACTTCACGATCCCCCGCACGGAGCCGGTGCGGCCCATCGACCCGGGGGCGTGGGTGGCCCACACTGCCATTTGCCGAGGTGGGGCTCCCGTCGGTCTGGAATCGCCGGTCGGTTGGAGTTTTTTTTTTTTAAATGAGGGATTTGATTTACTTATCGTAGGGGATGTGCCGGGGAGGCCGCCGTCGGTGACGACGCTCACGTCCACGTCTTCCTCCATCAACTCCTCCCTTCCCGAGTCCGACAGTGAGTTTTTTTTTGTTTGTCTGGGATTTAAAGGGGTGGTGTCGTTTTCGGTGGGCATGCCGTGAAGCAAAACGCGATGATCGCAGGGACGTACGAGGAGACGAAGCTGACGCTGAACTCGGACATGGGGACGATCGTGAGGGCGATGGCCCACCCGGAGTCGGGGCTGGAGATCCGGGACCGGATGTGGCTCAAGATCACGATCCCGAACGCTTTCATCGGTTCGGTGCCGCTCTTTCTTCGACCCGCGCTTTTTTTCGAGCGTTTTCTACGACGACGGTGGGTGTCGCCCAGGTGCGGACGTGGTGGAGTGGCTGTACGCGCACGTGGAGGGGTTCGCGGACCGGCGTGAGGCGAGGAAGTACGCGGCGCAGATGCTCAAGGCGGGGCTCATTAAGCACACCGTCAACAAGATCACCTTCTCGGAGCAGTGCTACTACATCTTTGGGGATCTGGTCTCGCGTGGGTGTCTCTGTCACTTGTTCTTTTTTTTCATATTTCCTGTTAGGGGTGCTGTCGGTATTTTCAAGTTTTGGATTTAAAAACATGTATTACGAGAAAGGTACCAGCTTGTGATCGGGGTCGATGGTCCTCGTCGAGTTCAGCAGATCGATTATGAATCCTAAAACTGGTAGTGATCGTGTACTCGGCATCAGACGAAGACCCCACCAAAAGAAGAACCATTTTAAGCCTTTTTATTGAAACAATTTTTTCCGTCAGCCCCATTCGACACACTAAATGTCGGAACGTCGCGATGAATTCGTGAACTGCCCTGGACTTGCATACGAAATTGTTACATGTCGGATGATTGCGATTGCAGAGATGTCACACCTGAGACTGGCGGACGGAGAAGCGGAGACGTGCACGAGCGAGGTGGATCGGGACACGGTGGGACCGCTTCCCCCGCCCTCCTGCCCCCATCCCCAGTGGGTGGGGGGCATGGGGGTGGTCCCGTTCCTGCCTCCGCCCCCGCGACCGGGACAGGCTCCCTCGGCGGTCTGTGAGTACGGGGTCGGTGGGAACCCGCCGTCCTATGCCTATGCGGTGGCACGGGATCCATCCGGTCGCATCCCACCCGGTTCGTTCAGTTCGTATCGTTTTGGGGGTTCGGTCGCGCGGACTTTGGTTCCTTTTGTCGATTCTATGCTGCCTGACCGTGCGACGATCGTGGATGGTATAAAAGGGTTCCACTACTGAGAGAAGAGGATGAGTTGCTTTGACTCCTTCTGCCAGAAGATGTGGAGTGGGGAAGGAGGCAGAATGTGTCGTGATATTCGACGATGTGGTGTGTCATCTTGAAATAGAGTGAAACCAACGAGTCGAGTCTGCCACTGGTGGTCGACGAGCTGCTTATGAGTAGAATGAGCTACCGGGAAGTGACGGATAGGTTTTAACTAATTTTGAGAAACGGGGTCATTTGATAGTACTGGGAGTTAAATTCCAAGCAATTAAAAAGTTTTGCCATTACAGCAAATGCTTTCTTTTTTTTTTCATTCAAGTGCGTCACGGATGATGGATGCGAGGAGGAAATGTGTGAAATTTTCTCCCATCGACTCGTAGGCATGCCGAGCGCGGGTCCCTCGAGTCGCGATCGCAAGTCGGTCTCCCCGGGTGGATCCGGGACCGGAAGCGACACGGAGTCTCGGCGGGACGGAGTGGGGAACGGGAGCAGTGCGTCGTCTGCATCGGGTCAGAGCGCGTCGACGGTGACCTCGGGTCGTCTCCTGACCGACCCGACCTCGAGGGAAATGTCGGCCAGTAAGCAATCCTTCCACCTGGCCATGGGGAACCCGGCCTCGGAGTTCTTTGTCGACATCATGTGAACGCAATTGCATGCATTCTTCAGTATTATTATCGTCGGAGGAGAAACGAGACTGTAAAAAAGAGAATTTTTTTTTTTTTTTTTTAATTTTAACCCATCTCTTTCCTCACTGCACTGCATGCGACCACGTGCACTGCCTCGGTTAACACGGAGCTTCGGTTCTCTGTCTCTCCCGTTTCCCTGCAGATGTCCACGTCCCCAATGACTATCGTTATCTGGATAAGGGAGTGATCTAGTCTTCTGTCGGGACGGTGGAGGCCTTCTCTTTCCCTCCCGCTTCGCTTTCCGAGAAGAAACCGCGAGGAGAACGGAGAACGAGCTCTTCTCTCGTATGTCTGTGCAATCGCTCATCACACGCAGATCTGCTGGCTTCTTCTTTCTTCAGACTCTTCTTGTGTTTTTTCCCTGGGCTTTTTCTTATTTATTCGCTCGCATCGTCTCGCGCGGAGGGATGCCTCGAACCATATCGCCCATCGCCTCGATCCCACTGGGGGCGGATTGCCTTCTCTCGGTGGAGTGTGATTTCCAGCGTCGGTGCAATGAAATTTGTACGTGCCACGGTTGCACTGGATCGTCGGACTTGCACTGCGTTTTAAAAATATTATTTCTGTCTCCATGGATTTCCATGAATATTATTCTCGTGCTATGACTTTCTTTGCAACGAGTAATAAGCCCATGCGAGGAGTGTTAGGTTCATCGCGAGGAATATATATGTCATTCGAGGTGCTACAGAGCATCGAGCGTTCTGTGGAGAATGATCTGGATTACGAGGAGGTGGCACGCGAAGGATTCTATAGTATTGCAGTCCTTTCTCACCGAACTGTGCTGGTATAAAAAAAAAAATTCCCAGTAAAGAAGGTAAACGAATTTACGTCGTTCGAACTGATATCGGAGGAATACACGATGGGAAGTTTGTGAAAATGGTAACTTTGAATTCCCTGTTGAAACAAACAAAAAAATGCTTTTCTTTGGCGAGATCTTTCGTGCTGCATGGCTGAGTGACTTTCGTCTCCTCGGGGAAGGTTGTAACTCGACCGCTCGTTTATCGTAGGGCAGTAATATTAACCTGACTCTGCTTCTGGAATATTTTTTCTTCATTCATTGCCTGCTTATGACATGGCGGTTTTTTTTTTTGCCCCATGGTAGGCCATGTATCGATCGAATATGATGCCCGATTTGGATTGTCATGCAATAAGTTTCGAGTATTGTCGACGAGAGTCAACCATTTTTTTTTTTTTTTCTCTTTTTTTTTTTCTTTCCATGATAGCAATGGTGTTGATTGAATTTGTTTCCTTGATATTTTAGTATTATAATATACTGGACGATATTTGCCAGTCGTGTGTGTGTGTGATTGAAAGGGAAATGTCATTCGAATGGGTTTCTCGTTCGCAACGACGCTTTATGGAGTGATGCCTCTAGGTGGATAGAGAGATGAAAAATAAAAAGTTATTTTCTTTAGCATCGAAACTTTGGGGGGGAAACCCCCCCCCCCCCCCCACCTCATAGAATGGAACTTTAGAGCTATATAATCTATGCCAACAAACCTAGCACTTTTCCATGATTTTGCTTTAACTCTGAGGCAGTTTATAACGAATCTTCAACTTCCTTAGTGAAAGATATAGTATCTACTACCCTGCCAATTTTGATGATTTAGCATAGAATTTTCAGGAGCGTCACTCACGACCAGGAAATGTGGTGGAACCAACTAGAAAATTCCTGTCCTTCGTTTAACCGATGTTTGCTTGACTCGGGCTGCATCATGAACCTCCAGGACCTTTCCTGCATTGTGCTGCTGGAAAAATGCTCAAGTTTCGTTTAATAATTTCCTTCGCTTTCCATAGACAACACTGGACGGAATTTCAGAGTAGAAAAAAAAGAAAACTTTTTAAAAATAAAAGAGGAATATTTATTGATTTTGCTTCAAGGAGTAGGAAGTTCAAAAACCAACTTTCATTTCCCCAAGTAAGGAAGTCGGCCGTACATCCTTGCCAAATTCGATTGTTTAACTTTTCATTGTTTTTTTAGAATCCCGGTGAAAGCAGAACACCGTTGAATGTATTCGACCGTAGCAGAAAGTCAAGCTCCATTGACTCACTTCCGCGTCTTCTATCGGCAAGAAGTGAGTGGAATTTAGATGCGGAAACCCTATCAAAAAATAAAAATAAATTCTTAATTATTTTATGTAAACTGGATATCAATTTTTACGCTACCTCTCATTTCCCTCAGTGGGAGAGCCGGCTCTAGACTCTTTCCGAGTTTCATTCTTTAAGTCAACATATTTTTCAAGCATTTTAGGGAAATCGTCACTTGCTTCAAGGAAAGATGTTGAAACCAGAAATAAAAAATTGCCTTTTTACCTGTTTCTTTGGACTCAGACAGGCGGCATAAAATTCCTGGAAATTCCTGTTCCATGTTCTGTGAACTGTCAAATTCATTTGAATAAATTCCGACACCTTCCATACCCAGTCGACACGAAAACGTTGACTCCACGTTGATAATATCTTGGCGATTTTGAGAGGGTGCTGATGCTGATGATTTCGATGATAGTCAACATTACATCAATATATGTCGGGCATGACATTCGAACAAAGGTTTCCAAAGGCGCAAAATTGCTAACACTGGGGCTTACCTTATATATGCTATTGTCACGCGTCCCCAAGTAGGTTTGGAACGGTGCTTAATATTTTCTCCAAAGATCGCACCGAAGAAAGCATTTGAATTCCCGGATCCATTTGACGAAAGTGGCAGCACAACCCAATGAGATCCTCGGTAATTGTGGCCTGGGGAACGGAGAGAACAAAGTCCACCTTTCCATCTGACTCCATGAGACCCCCTTCGTATATAAGTACTAAAAAATATGCATAAAACCAGACTCTTGCGGTCACCAAGAAGGATCCCCGGAGTGATCGCCATCTGAATCATTTCTGGACCCGAACGTCCCCGCCCGATCTCCGCATAGTTCCCTTGTGGCGATGGGACAAAGCGTTGGAATCGCGGATCTTGGAATACTTCAGTCATGAAATGGCACAAGCGAACATCCACTAAATGTGGCATTTAATCGGCGCATGCGTAGTGCATGCTGGGAAATTGTTGAGAATTGTCTCACTTCAACGCTGAGCCAATGTTCCTCACCGCATTCAGTTAATGAATTCATGGGAACATTTGTGGAAGAAAACCGATCCCGAATCCGTTCCGTTATGAGTGCTTCTCGTCGAAAAAATCACGTGCGCATTTTGACTGCTTTTTCTCCTCGTTGCACGCGCAAAACGCAAGGCAATAATTCATTACGAAAATTTCCAAGAAACATTAGGAATTAATTTGGTATGACTTTGACTATCGATCCCCGGTCCCCTTTCGTTTCTCCACAGTCCTGCCTTACAACCCGTGATGAAAGGATGTCTTAAGATAATTATTTAATTCCTAATTAATCTTTGACGATGCTGGAAGGCCTCGAAGACTCTCTCGACACATGGGCAAACGACGGCACAAAAGGAACTTCCACCACCGAATGCAAACGAAGGCCACGACACCCGAGTCGATGAAGTCTGACGAGCTGATGGAAAAATCGATGAACTGCCTTAGTGCCTCCATGCTGGAGAGGAAGCCTCACCGGCAATATCCGCGATGATCGCGCGATCCAAAGATTCAACAGTTAGAGAGAAAAGCTAAGGTCATGAGACTTTGGGAAGTCGAGCGTGCGCAGACAGGAAGATCCTGTGTATATTGGCGGTCTAGAAGGAGAACATTTTACCAATACTGTTGCTCCTCAGTCGTGTTTTGGCTTTGCTCCGAACATCAACGGAACTCTACTCGATCAGACCGACTGGATCATTATTCGGCGGTTCATCTCACTTCCTGGGTAAAAGGGGAAAGACGATGAGAGGAAAGGTGGGTATCGATGACGGATCGAGGGGAATATCAGCGGAGATCCATTTCGAAGACGACCGCGGAATCGGTCGGCGTCGGCCCTGTCACCGTCAGATTCCTCAATAGATTCACAGGACACTTGTGTGGCTTCGATGCTGAGTTCATCCGTAGGCACGAGAATTCGGGAAGAATGTCTTAAAATAAAGATCTTCACCGGTCCATGAGGTTCAGATACATTTCCTTCGAACACTGTGTTTGTAAAATTCAATGACAGGTGCTCTTCATCATGAATGTTTCTTATCTGTACTATCACAGATGACACTTGGCAGTTTAAGAGTCTGTCGGGGATGAAAGAAGTATCCAAAAATGAGCATGAATTTCCATTCCAGAGGATCACGACCGTTCTTTAAAACACGTTTCAAGTTAATCATTAAGGCCTCACTTCAGGCAAAAGCTAATTCAAGCGAGAGAGGAAAATAAGTGGAAACAAACATGACTCCACTAGGGATTCATTCGAGGAGCGCACAATGGAATGCGATAACGTGCCCATTATGTTGTCGGTATTTCACCTTATTCTCAAGTGAAAACAGCGACAAAGATGTGGTTTAGTGTTATTCGATTCACGTCTTTACGATCGGCACCCATTTCCTCGATGTGAAGAACCGTGAACCAACGCAGTTCAAACAAAAACATTCATTGCAAATGAAGAACAATCAGCGCATTAACTTATCTTTTTAGAGACGATGAGCAAAGTCGTTGAGGAATTGATCGGGTTGATGACACTCACGTACTTGAGACAGGCTTTTGAGACAATTATTTGATGCTGAATTCAGCGATCAATTAAGATGTATCCAAGAATGAGCATCCATATCCACAACAAATATTTTGCACCCCATTCGTTTAATGAATGCTCTGAAACATTTATAGAAGAAAGTCGATTCCAAATCCGTTCCATTGCCGATGCTTCTCGTCCAAACATCTTCTGAACACTGTGACCGTTCTCTATCCTCGTCGCACGCGCGAAAAGACAATAATTAATTACGAATGTTTCCAAGAATTTGCATACATTTATTTGGCATTATTTTGACTATCAATCTTCGGTCTCCATTTGTTTCTCCTCTGCCTAACAAACCCGCGATGAAAGGATGTCTTCCATATCATCTTATAATAATTATTTAATTCCTAA